AAAAAAAAAAAAAAAAAGTAGTAAGAAGAAAAAAGAAAAAGGGTCAGCTCTGCAAAGATCCGGAGACAGGGAGAAAATTCCAAGCAGAGGGCTGGCAGATGCAAGGCCCATAAGATGAAACAAGCTTGCATGATACGTGACAGCCAAATAGAAAGGCCAGATGGGGAGTAATAGGTGGGTAAAGAGCAGGAATGGGGTAGGCAGGGCCAGATCAAGTAGGTGGGAATAATGAATGGATTTTACGGAGGCAGGATGGAAGCCTGGAGACCAGTTGTTGCAATCCAGATGAAAGATGGTAGTGGCTTGGCTAAGGGTAGGGAAGTGAGGCTTAGGAATGACAACTGGGGAGAGGAAGGAGGGGAACGAGGTTCTTGCTTAGAGGCATGATGAGTCCAACTGTGGAGACTGACTGGCTCCAAAACTGGGCTGTGTGGCATCCAGATCTCATCCACGGCAGGTCCTACAGTTGTGCTGGTCTCTCCCATCCAGCTGAGGCTCTTCTTTCTCTTTCTCAGGTATGGCTCCCATGGTGCATTTTACCGCTATAAGAACAGCATGGGGAAGAGTCTCCCACTCTTTTATATCTACGACTCATACCTGACGTCCCCTGAGGCCTGGGCCCACCTCCTGACACCAAACGGGCCCCACTCGATCCGCAACACGCCCTATGATGGGGTCTTCATAGCGCTGCTGGTGGAGGAGGGTCACACCCACGACATCCTGGCCGCCGGATTTGACGGCATGTACACCTACTTTGCCTCCAATGGTTTCTCCTTTGGTTCTTCCCATCAGAACTGGAAAGCTGTGAAGAACTTTTGTGATGCCAACAACCTCATGTTCATCCCCAGTGTGGGGCCTGGCTACATAGACACCAGCATTCGGCCCTGGAACAACCACAATACGCGCAACAGGGTCAACGGCAAGTACTATGAGACGGCCCTGCAGGCGGCCCTGACGGTGAGGCCCGAGATCGTCTCCATCACCTCCTTCAATGAGTGGCACGAGGGCACCCAGATTGAGAAGGCCATTCCCAAGAAGACACCCACCCGCCTGTATCTGGACTACCTGCCTCACCAGCCCAGCCTGTACCTGGAGCTGACCCGCCGCTGGGCAGAGCACTTCATCAAAGAGAAGGAGCAGTGGCTCATGTGAGGGGCCTGTAAACAGGGACGTGAGGAGCTGATGTCCTTGCCTTGCTGGAAGATGTCACCACGTGGGGTTCAGCTGAGGTTGTAGGCACTCACTCATTCCCAGGTCAGAGGTCAGCAGCTAGGTGCTTCTGGGTGGGCTGTCAGGCCTGGGCCTGTGCAGCACAGAGACCATTCCTCAGGCGAGTGGTGCTGGGGTGCTCTGCGGTGATGGGAATGGCAGAGGCTGGCAGGTGACTGAACTTAGCCCAGGGCAGCTCCACGTTCTGGGAACACTTTCATGTAACCCCTTCTAATTTTGAACTCTGCAGCAGGCCGGTGCTGTGTAGTGGCCACCCACTCACCACCCTTGGAAGGGTGTCAGGGTCTGGGCTCGCATGTGCCCTGCTCCCTTCTGCCAGTCTGCGTCCTCTCCTCAGGCCTCCTTCTCACATCATCTGTCTTCTCCAAGTTAGGGAACCATATTTGAGACTTTCAAAAAGGGAACTTCTAGGTTTAAGCTCCTCCCAGTAGATTCCTGAACCCAATTATCAGGAAATCATCCTGAGCACTCACAGGTTCATGTAACACTCACTCATCAAGCACCTTCCTATGTGCTAGGTGCTGGGGAAAACTTGACCAAGGAAGAGGTCCTGTCCTGAAGCTTCCAGGACCCAGCTTTCCTTATCTGGTGTGGCCTTGTAGCTAGTGCCTGGGCACAGTTGTTTTTCTTTTTGCAGTTTTACCTAGTGCTGGGCATTCAGTTCTTTCTCCTCTAAAAAAATACCTCTGTGCTCCAGAGCCTCATTTTTCCCAGATGCATATTTAGCTCCAGGGAGAGGACTAGGAGGAAACCCCCTCCCTTTAGCTGCCTGAACTGACTGAGGCCCACTCACTACAGCCATGTTCAGTGCTACTGTGATTTGTAGTAATTAAATATGAACTGGTATTCTCAAGTAAGCATTCCTTTTGCTCTCTTTAAGACCTCACAAATTCTGACCTTAGATTCTGTGACAAACTGACATATGAGTTGGGCTGGCTATGGCTTTACCACAAGTAGGTTTGCTTAAGAAATTACTAACAAGGCCGGGCACGGTGGCTCATGCCTGTAATCCCAGCACTTTGGGAGGCTGAGGCGGGTGGATCACCTGAGGTCAGGAGTTCCAGACCAGCCTGGCCAACATGGTGAAACCCCGGCCCTACTAAAAACACCAAAATTAGCTGGGTGTGGTGCTGGGTGCCTGTAATCCCAGCTACTTGGGAGACTGAGGCAGGAGAATTGCTTGAACCTGGGAGGCCGAGGGTGCAGTGAGCCAATGTGGCACCACTGGACTCCAGCCTGGGCAAGAGCAAGACTGTCTCAAAAAAAACAAAAAACAAAAAAAGGAAAACAAATTACTAAACAAGATTTCTAGAGGGAATTAACAAACCAGTGCTTATTTACAAATAAACGAATATGCTAATTGCAGGCACCCTGATTAAAGTGGGCCCCTCCCTGTTAACACCTCACAAGATTCTTAGGATATACTTGAAAACAGGTGCACTGGAAACCACTGTACTGAGAAGTTTATGGGCTCAAGACTGAATTGGGCGTGGTCGCTCAGGCCTGTAATCCCAGGACTCTGGGAGGCTGAGGTGGAAGGATCAGTTGAGTCCAGGAGTTCGAGACCAGCCTGGGCAACCCAGTGAGACGTGTCTTTAAAACCATTAAAAATAGGCCGAGTGCCTTGGCTCACACCTGTAATCCCAGAACTTTGGGAGGCCAAGGTGGGTGGATCACTTGAGGCCAAGAGTTCAAGAACAGCCTGACCAACATGGCAAAACTCCATCTCTACTAAAAATACCAAAAAAATTAGTAGGGTATGGTGGTGCACACCTGTAGTCCCAGCTACTCAGGAGGCTGAGGTGTGAGAATCACTTGAAAGTGGGAGGCAGAGGTTGCAGCGAGCCAAGATTGTGCCACTGCACTCCAGCCTGGGCAACAGGGATTCTGTCTCCAGAAAAAAAAAAAA